GGGGAGTTTGTCTGCCCCCCTGCCATCATCCAGGGGAATTTGGGATGCCCAGAGCCTGATCTCCCCTCTGTGTGACTCACACAACCCTGTGCAACCCGTTCAGGGCAATGCCCTGGGCCCCGCATGGCCAGATCCTGCAGCAGGGTCTCTGCCGGGCTGTCCTGTTCCAGGAGCGAGGACATCCCGAGCTGTGCAGCCAGGTTGACGTGTGACATTGCTGCAAGGGTGAGCAGTGAAGCACTGCCTGCTTGGCTTCAGGAACAAACCGACGGATCCACTAGTGCCCGTGGTGTGGTCTCAGGGGCTGACCTCTGCCTGTTCCCCTCCCTTGGGACTATGCTCCCCATCCCACCCCCGTCGGGGGTCTGGGGTGCCAGGGCTGGAGACCAGGCTTTCGGCAGGGATCAGACCAGCTGTGCAGGGGGCTGCTGTGCACCCAGCCCATGGAGGGGGTGGCCAGCCCCCAGACCCTCTCTCTGTGCCTCCCAGATCAGAACAGCACCCAGATCTGGGGGCTCCATGCTGCTCCCTCAGTGTCCCTCCAGGGTCTGGTCACTCTCATGGCCTTGGTGGCATCTGCTCGGATGCGTCCGCCCTGCTCTAATCAGCTTAAGGGAGGGTGATCTGATGTCAGTGTCTCCTCTGGGGAGGACGCAGGCTGTGGGGTGGGGGGGCTGATGCTGGCAGCAGAGAGCCCATGTATAAGAAAGGAGCTGTGGGGACCGGGGCGGGGGTCACTACCAAGGGGGTGTCCCTTCCTCCAGGGTCCCTGAGCCTTGCACAGCCTGGTCCCCAAGGACTGCAGGAAATGAAGTGGTGGAAAAGGAGCAGTTACCCCCATGCAACCAGCACCCAGAAGGGAGACACCCCCTACCCCTAAGCTTGGCTTTTCAAGGGCAAAATGGGGGGGAGGGGCTGGCTCCCTCAGAGCCGGGGCAGGGGCCTGTGTCCCCACTGGGGGAGCCTGCTTTCAGGCTTAGGTAAGTGCATGACGCAGGGCAGGATTAAGGGATGTGGGTCACTAGTAGCTGCCCCTCCCATCCCACTCCTACCCTCCTGTCCCTCTGCCAGTGCCTGCACCAGGGGAGCCCAGGTGAGGCCAGTTCCCTGCTCATCCCTGGCCCTGCTAAATGGGAGGATGGATATGTCAGGGAAAGTGGGGGTTTACATTTGGGAGACGGAGGAC